AATCACGATGGATATAAATAACATAAAGTCAACTCTAGATGAAGTGATCTTAATAACAATGCTGATCAAGTTTCTCAATTATCGCCTCTATGATTACATCCTTAAATAAACACAATTAAAAGGGTACTGGTGAAAAGTTTAGTTTGTTGACATAAAACAAATTTGCCATCTATAGATTTTGTACAACTCAATTATTTGTACTGACCGGAAAGACTTCGAATTTGTTAAATCTAATAACTTTAACTTCAAGTACTCTATCTCGACAAACGTGCCATTAAGAATTAAAAGTGTTTTAAAGTTGGTAAAAACTACGGAATGATTTGAATGGCATTCCAATGCTACCTAACTAATTTATTTGCCAAACATTACCACATTTTTTTAGGTGTAAAGAATTCTATTCATCGGTTAAGAGTATTGCTCCCTTTTTGATGGCATTCGTTTAAAGTAATAAAATAACAATTGCCTTTCGCATGCAATAGGTCACACGTCTGACACTTGCAAAGAAAACAAGATATCCAATGTCGTCAAACTGAATTCCATGTAGAATACCGACACGGTTTTCGATAAGAAATTCTTTCTAATTATATTCAACGTTCTTTCCAATGAGAATAGAATAGCTGGAGTGAACCTAATAAAATGCGCAAGATGATGTTAAGTCAAAGACTTGAGACTTGCCTTCAAGTGACAAAATAAAAAAAACAGGTACTCAAATATTATCCACGACGCTGATTAGGGCCAATTCTTGCCGCGTTTGGAATTAGACCCACTTTAGTATCTAAAAGCACTTAGCACTGCAAATATGACTTTCAACTGCGCGACCTTTATACGTCCCGGGATTTAAGTCGCATTTGGCATCGCAATTTCCCTTACAGGGGAGGCATCGAGCCAGTTTTGTCGCCGCTCAAGGAGCCAATCCAAAGCTTGTTTTGTTTTGTTTTGACTTTTTTTTTTTTCGCTTTCGTTCAGTAATTCGTATAAGAACTAGTCGAACTCTTAAAAGAAAGAGACACGCATGCAATTTCCCGTACAAAATTGTATCCAAGGGCTATTGAAGAGAAATGAGTTTTCGTGTTGTTATTTGACTAACCATACTTTGAAATGTTTTATAGTCTTTATTCGCAGCTGTCAGTAGTCGGTACTGATTTTTACGGTATTTCGGTCAGGGTTTTATTCGTGCAGTTTAATAGCAAACAAAAATATTTCCTCCTACGCCACTGCCACAGTCACCTTTGCTGTCACGTTCTCCAACTGTAGGCCGGTTTGGTGACTCGCTCTTACAAAATAACTTAGTTCGACGACTGAATGAAAATAGGCAGTAATAATAACTAGTTTGCAAGCAAAGTATTATTTTGTTAAGCTGTTTGGAAGCCCAGGTATCTAACTGTGCTCGACTTAAACATACGTCCACTGAAAAGGTACACCAAGTACATTATGTGAACTTGGAAACGAACTTGAACATTTTTACAAGTTGACTAAATACCTTAGTGCATCATAATACCGAGATATAATTTTACGCATCATCAAATCAACATCATATAAATGCTTACCCTGCGCCGACAGCGATCTCCTTGGATTCTTACCGTGTTGTAATGATTTCCACGTTCTCTTGATAATCTCTCAGATCGACAGCGAAATTCGTTTGTTTCTAAAGGTTGTGACAAGAGACAAGGCCAGACAAGCGCGTCCGGCGAACAACAAAACGTACTTGTCGATGTCAATTAAAATATCGACGTTCCTGTTCTCCAATAATTGAATCGATGTATTCCCTATGAAGTGTACATAGATGACGGCAGAGTTTGTTTGGTTTGTTTGCTGATGGATTAAACGCGTTGAAATTCTTCGCTTTCCCAAGCAACCAAAAAAAACAAAAACAAAAACAAAAACCTCAGAAAACGTGAGCCATAGGAGAATAAGATCTGACGTAACCGCCTAAGTCACTCACTTGAAAATGGCAGGGGTCAAAATTGTCACCCCTAAAAGGAGAATGGAATAAAACAAATCCCGTACAAATAAACGGTTGACCTGCCATGCAGTACAGCCTTATTGTTTCGTTTTTTGTTTTTTGTTTTGTTTTTGTTTTAATTCTCTCATTAAAGAACTATTTATGCATGTTTTCTATTTTTTCTTTTAATTTTCCTTCGCTTTANGGTTGGCCTGCCATGCAGTACAGCCTTATTGTTTCGTTTTTTTTTGTTGTTTTTTTTTTAATTCTCTCATTAAAGAACTATTTATGCATGTTTTCTATTTTTTCTTTTAATTTTCCTTCGTTTTAAATCTCTTGTTTGGATTTGTTTGGGTTTGTGTCCTTTCCTTTGTTTCTTTGCTCTTAGTCAGTTGTTGTTGTTGTTTTTTTCTTTATTCTTCTGTTTATAATAGTTTTGTTTGCTTGTTTTCTTTTTCTTTTTTTTTTCTCTTTTCTTATTTCTGTTTTTAATAATAATAATAATAATAATAGCAGTAACGGTAATAATGATAATAATAATAATAATAATAATAATAATAATAATAATAATAATAATAATAATGACATTTACACATGTGTGAGGAGCTCCGGGGCACCTTTCTACAAAATTCCACAAGGGGATTTCATTGATGACTGCTGTTTAAACGCTAGCCAAGCGTGTGTGCGCTAACTTTAGAAAGTGAATACTGGGGTGAACTTGTGAATCATGGTGTTTAGGATCTTTTTAATATTTTTATTTTCATCAAAACTTCTCTCTTATCGTTATTATTATTATTATTATTATTATTATTTTTATCATCATCATTACCACCACCACCATCATTATCATCATTATCATAAGCCTGTGGTTTGATTTAACTTCCTTTTATAGTTAAACAACACAAACATACACTCAAAGCTCTTGAAAATGGATCGTGAGATTTTCAATTTTGTGGCTATTTTTTTAACGGTTAACGCATCCGAAAAGAAAATGCAATATTAAAAGGTACTAATTCTGTGTTGTTGTTTAAGAAACTTAAAAAAAAAAAAAAAAAAAAAANGTGAGATTTTCAATTTTGTGGCTATTTTTTTAACGATTAACGCATCCGAAAAGAAAATGCAATATTAAAAGGTACTAATTCTGTGTTGTTGCTTAAGAAACTTTAAAAAAAGAAAAAAACATGCATGAAATCATCTGTCCAAGAAACGTAATTCAGCTTGACTTTCTGCTGGTCAAACGTATGGCTGTTTCAGTATGGTTGCTACATAAACGGCAATGTCAAATTACTTTTAGAAACACTGGCACATCACAAGATATGTTTTCAGCGAAGGATGAATGAAGAGCTATGGACATTTTCCGCATCGCAGAGTAAATCATCTTTTTAAATTGTGAACAAGGTTCACAGGCGTCCACTTCCCTTCCACCCCCTTGTACTCACAAGGGTAAAGATTTCTTTTCCATTGTCGACCTTTGGAAGTTGTCAATAATTCAACTGTTCCGCTTGATTACAGCAAGATGCGTTCAGCTTCCTTAATCGGATAATTTTAACAGCAATGCCACGCATGCGCTCTGTACAAGGACATTATCACTCCTACAAAGTGACAAGTTAACATTGCTCTGTGAATTAACTTTGTTATTTTAATCCTAAAACACGAATATCAAGCAATGACCATCGATTTGCCACAGAGTTACCCAATGAAGTTATCGTGTCATATGTCGCTTTTTCAACAAAATTACGAGGAGAAACACAGTTGTTTCATCAGAACAAGATAATTTATAATGAAGGGATTTAAAGTTATGTATTATATCTTGTTAGGCGATGAATTTAATACTGACTGGAAAATATCGGCAAGGCATAGCCGCTAGTCGCTCTGTGTATTCATCAGTCTTCGCTGATAGGTTTGAATATGACTCGACTTTTACATTAAATTCACAAAAACAGTAACAGGTTATGACACATTGCTGTAAAAATATTTATTCTCGATGAAGACGGAAAGAAGCAAAATAGAATGCAATATCTGTGAAGCGAGACAGGTGCCCCTAAATCATAGTTTAAAATCCAACCAAAACTCCGCGAAATTCGTGAGTGCAAAAGGATCTTAGGTTCAGGAAATAATAGATGGTATCATAGAGAATAAAGTACATTAGCAGCTTTGTGTTATACAAATCCAGTAGCTGATTCGATTGGCTGAGACGTCAAAAACAAACCAGGAAGATTACATTGCTTTCAAGCGGAAATCATCGAACAATAGTTTTATTGCCTCCTGTGAATGTCTAAATTCCTTTTTAAAAGAACAACTGGAAACTTTTGTCCAACAAATACATATACAAATATACATTTCAAAGATATGACCATATGAAACTTAATTATCTTTTTATAAACTGGGGATTCATAGCCTTCTAGACATAGGTAATGACAATTTATTCAGTCTGAACAAACAAAGGAGTAGTCTGACAGTACTCCCGTTGAACGTCTAAGACTGAACATTTCCATCGCTTTTTTTTCTTTTTTCCTTTTTTTTCCCTATGTGACATGGAATCTCTTGATATACAACTGTGTAAACGCAATTCCTGAGCATTTGAGTAGTTTTATCTATCCGGTTATACAGTTTTTATCTCGGTTATACAGTTTTTATGTTTGTATTACGAGAGTAAATACAGTGTATTCGCTCAGCCTTAACCACAGGAAGTATTTCTTCTTCAAGTTTCGCTCATGTACTTTACGTGAAGGATAAGGAAAGATAAGCAACGGCTATTTAGCACCGTTGAACAAGCAATCTGGCTAAAATTATATCAAAAAAAAAGTTATTAGGAAGATGATAAAAATGTTCTTTTTTTTCACTAATGTATGTCATTATGATCTGTAAAAGCATATCAAAGGACTTGAAATAAAATGAATAACTACGACAACTTAAGAATTAAGCTAATGATGCATTTATAAAGGAGCAGTTTTTAAAAGAGCGATTTCCCGAGGGGCTATTAGTGCGTAAAACATTGCTTAAAGAACGACTTACCAACCCAAACATTCTTAACTTGTGCACTCTGGTTTTAGGATATCGCCGTTATTTAATTCTTAGTGGATGACGCTGAGCAAAGAGCAATCCAACTGCCATTTCAGGTTTACTTCAGCCTCAAAGTGCAATACGGTTTTTATCACCTGTTCCACGGTCCACTTACCATTTTCAACTCAATCAATTACATCACTCCAAACAAGTCACCTTCCGACGTGTTTTAATTAGGTATTGGCGTTTAATTTGCATAATCCGCGAATACAAAAGTCGGGATTCTAAAACAGGACGGCTCAGTCTTTATGGTATTTTAGTTGTGCCGACTGTGCTTGATTGTTGATTCAGTGAGGACATCAAGGTACGGCTTTTGTCTGCCTTAAGGTTGCAATCAATTTAAGGGAGAAAGTAGTTACTAAGCCGATTTATTTTCAATCTTCGATCGCTTCAAGACACCAAAAGCTTTTCGCTCTGAGGTGTTGAAACTGCCAGTATGAAGGCAAAGACGTATCCAAGGGCTCTCAGTGTGGTGCTTGTTGTTTTCCTTTATCATGTACATTTCAAGGCCCTGGGGGAGAGAGGTTGGTACAAACACACAGTTCTGCTTATCCATTGACTCTCAACGCATTTTTTCTAACTTAAATCAGTGTTAAACTAATCACTTGCCGACATTGTTTAATGAATCTATGTTTCATTACGTTGTAGCTATTCTACTTTACAAAGATCAGGCATCACCGTCTTCCTGGCAGTGGCTGACACGCTTTGAATTTGGCTCATTTTCCGGGGTAAGTCTAAGCATAAAACGGAAGAAAAGATTTAATGCTATAGCGTTTCCATGTCATTGTAATTCTGCGCTTTTCACACTTTTTTGTTAAGTACGTTGCTAAGAGAGATCACGTCTTATGCAAGAATTTTGTGAAATCCGCGTTTTTAATTCTGTCGACCTTTGTTTCCTATTTTCACTCAAGCTAGAGATATCGATTTGAGGTCGTCATTAACTATTTGGAACATGATTCCTCAACGAAACAAGGTATTATATGCAGTAAAACACAGATTTTCTGAGTAAACACGAAAAAACGCGGATGATAACCAGTTTGTTTGCATTGGGCTAAGGATGTCAAAGATAAACAGTTGTGGATAACATTTATGACAAGTTTCAATGCATCTCAACATCTCAAGCCATTTTATATAAAGAGTTTGACTCAACGTCACGTCTCCGACATGCACAGCTAATGTTGGCGGCAACAGTAACTATAATAAATGAGCTAATTTACTTTGGTCAAGTAAATGTATAATTACGTTGTATCCGGTATTCCGCAAAGTGAAATACCGGATACGTGCAAATAAAATCGTCATTACAAACCAAGCTTTATTTATTTTGTAACTTAATTTCACATGTAATACTTCGAAGTGGATTTCATTTCGTACGTGGATACTAACATTGCTTTGCACATGACGATAATAACAGTGATATTATATGGGTGATAACGACTGTCATGTTGATAGACGTATTGGCCTCTCATGTTACAAAAGAAAATATCCTCAAAGAATATGTCGTTTGAAACAAGTGCGTCATCACGTTTGTCGGAGGAAGAATGGATACCTGCAACTGCAACAAAGGAAAATAAAACGGAATTTCACAATGCGCGAATTCGCAAAATTTATGAGATAAACCCAACCGAGAAATGCGCGTCGATTAAACGAGATAGTTTGCTATAGAAGAAAGCAACAAGTGATTCAAAGTTCTTCACTGATTGTGACCCCTGTAGATCTGTGAAAAGACGCATGTTACGAAATTTGATTTAAAGATTTGTTTGCGACCAAGAAAGCTAGAAAATCGAGGAAGAGTCGAAATTATGGCCTCCTGGGTATATTGTTTACCCAACCAACCTAGAAACGCAGTCAAATAAAGTTTTCTTGTTGACTTTCTAAAACATAATTCCGTTTGTTGTGTTTTCCAAATCATCGCAAATGAATCAACGGTCTCAAACGATCTGTGTCCATTTTGCTCTAGCTTTAAACTTCATGAGACCGAAAAAGGCAGTCTTTACTAAATCAAGAAGGCCTCCATTGGTGGTTTAAATCTCTATTAATTACCATCGACACCTTACAGTTCGCAAGACTATTGTATTTTTTCAAATATGGTAATGTTCGCTGGAGTTGTAATAGAATTATTTTGTAAGGGTTACAACGCACACAGGTCAACAAAGTCAAATCAATATCATTCAAATTCCTTTCGTAAACGAAGAGTTAAAAACTACCTTTTTTCATCCCTTCTGTCGAACAGCGAATTTGATTCACAAACAATAAATACTTGGGAGCGTCAAATTGATCTGCCCTAGGAAATAGGTTCTGTTTGCCTAACTGACGTCGCGAAAATATCTTGCCCATGTTAACATTTAGTTTCTTTGTATTGCGACCTCATTTGTTGTACATTGACGCAATGGCATCTTGCGGGCTATTGACTCACGTGCTAAAAGGCAAATAACTACATGACAAAAGACATGAGAGCAAATTTGCTTTCTTTCTTTTCCTTTTGAAACCAGGTCCACTATTAAACAAACATACTGGAGGTAATCAAGATTATTGAACATGTTATCTGTCGATTCTGCACGCAATGTGAACCTGGCTTGTTTGCCTGTTGTCTTTCTCATATGATTCGTAAATGTTGCTGGAAAACCTCACCAATGTAAAAAATGTACTTAACATATTTGAATATCGTTGAGCATATCTTTTATTTAAAGGCACCAGATTGGTAGTTGTCCACTTTCCATCCCATTGAGTCGTTTCTAATCCAATGCATCTCAAACAAAACAGACTCTTTCCATTCAGTTGGCGCTTCTTTTATCCATACCTATCCGTTTCATTGCAGACGTCTTATTCTCGAATTAAGCTAGATAGTTGAGCATTATAGCAAACCAAACCTGATGTACAATTATTTATTACTAATATTTCTTCATTCACTTGCAATGACGCAATTCCGTGTTCGGTAAGAGATACTAAATCCTTTAATCAGTTCTTTTTGTTTTTGGTTCACTAATGGAGGCGTTTCCTTTTCAGAGAGACCACTCTCTATAAATTAAGGCTCAAAGCACGCTTGACTTGCAGCAATTAGTGCGCGCTGTTATTCACACACGTTGACGTAGTCGAAGATTAATTTGGTACACGCCCGCACTGAAATGTTCTTAGGTTGACGTTCACATTCAATACAGTCAACCTTTACACAAACGCTTGAACTGATCAAAGCTACATTTGAAGCTTTCAGTGGACAGTTTTGTAGTTTCATCATTTTCTGACAAGCAGTTACATCTGCGAGAGACTATCTTAATTTCTGATACTGTGAATTGGCCATGGACGGATCATTGTGGTGTCTTTGATTGGAACCGTAAGAATGTGTTAAGCCAGGAATTTAATTAAACTTCTACAATTCTTCCACCGACCCCTGCTATGAATGGCATCTAGCAAAGTCATTCTTCTGAAATGTCGGTACACTGTTCTTCTTCCATCTCGGTAGCATTTTATTAGTTATCCTGTTTTTTTTTTTTTTTTTTTTTCACTCCGTAGTGTAGTAAAACTTAAGTTAGAATTTGGTGGACATTGGTGGCCTGGGACTGCCATAAATTTATGTTTTATTTGCTTTTTCAATTCATGCACCAGCATGGCGTCTCCATTCAAATCTCTATAAATTTGGGTAAAATATTTCTCCGCATATCTCGCATAAGAAAAATTGCTGTGACCGGAATTTTGGCGAGAGTCTTTCCACATTTACCTTCTTTCATTTCCCAGATNTTTTTTTTTTTTTTTTTTTTTGGTGTTGTTTAGCAACCAATTCCCAGACAGTGACCATTTTACACCGACTGAGATTACAGACGTGTACGCAACCTTTTTGAAGAGGAATAGATTATCTAATTAGCTATCAACGCCATCATATTCTAAATGAATTGAATGCTCGGTTAGCATTGTGGTGTAGAAAAATGAACTATTAGTTAAAACTACGCTGTTGGTGTGCGATTCACTAGCGATTCAAATCGCTTCTCCCAAATTATGAATATAATAGAAACGAAATTTCAGTAAGATTGCCCGATTGTTCCCTTTCTCGCTTGTTTTAAATACTTGAAAAGAGTTAGCTAACGGAATGAATTAATTTTACCGGCGTAGAACATTTCTCTAATAAAAAGGTAGTCCTACGTTTAACTTGCTTTTTGAAATGTTTCGTTCCCTTCTCCAGCATAGGGACATGCCGTCATTCATCACCAACCAAATCAGGTAGAGTTAATTAAAACGAGCACCAAACCCCAATGACCTCCAATCGTTAAAAAAATAGCGCAAGCATTGTTTCAACCTTTGAGTCAACTGACGAAGACCGACTTTTAAATTGCAACCTTCCAAACAAAAGCTATTGAGTATCATGGTACAAATGGTAGTCCTGACTTTCAAGGAAACCCTAGTATGGGAATATTTTCAAGTGATACTATCGAACAGTGCGCTCACGTGATACTGCTTATTCATTGACAAAATTAATTTAGCTTTAATTGGGTAGATTTGACCAAATTGTTCAAGCATTAAAATGAAAAACTATCAAATGGTACATGTACATCTTGCTCTGGAGTTTAACCTTAAGCATTCCAGTAAAAACCATACTTAGCTGTAACTAACGATCACTAACTGCAGTTCTGCTGTATATTTCAATTCATGCAAGGTCATTTGATTTCCATATCCACGTCCACTGATTGGGCGACCATACAAACTCAATTAGCCTTAAGCATGTTCATTCCAAGTAATCAATCATGGACAATTAGCTAGAGACACAAGTGTTTGTGTATAAACGGATCTTGGTGCAAAAGATGGACATTACTTGCACATTTTTTTTTCCAGGGTAGGTAGAGTTCCTGATAATAAAATTGCTTTCCTTCTAATCTTGTTACTAATGGTGCTTTTAATTAAGGACAAAAAATAGTCCCAATACATAGGAGGTTCCTGACTATAATGCCAACAGGTATTTGATTAAGGTCTATTATTGCCAAATAAACTTGACGATAAGCTAAATATTCGCTACGTTCTTGGGGTTAAACATGTAAGAAAAGAATGCCAACTGCTAATTCCTCTCTTGGGAATCACGACTTCTCGCAGTCTGGAAGGTTTTGTTTACGCAAAAACTTTTTTGTGCCAGATGGGAGTATGGTGTCGGTATCACATAAAAAAAAGAAAGCTTAATCCATCGTATTAAATATCCATTAGTGTTTATTTAGTACTTTCTTTGTGAGTTCAAATCAAAGTAAGCAAGTGCACGTAATGGATAGCTAAAGGGTGTGATAGAATTCTTAGCTGTTTTCGTTGACTCACACTTTTCGAGTATGCCATAGCTATATACTAAAACGTTTCTTAAACCAAGATGGCGTTTCAAATTTGGAAGACTTATTAAGCTACAGCACATGATTACGTATCTTAATGACCGTTCCTTTTCATGGGGTTAATTTGTAGAAGTAAGTGTGGTTAACTAATTTCTCTTTTATATACCTTGTGCTTCCAAACATGAAGGTTTTGTTACGTGCATGCAAAATACTTGATGCTTTGTTTCTTTGTTTGTTTGTTTTCACATAGCTAATGCGAACAACGCTTAGAAAAAGCAGAGAGGTGTTTATGTCATACTTTTTCGTGCTCCTTCCTTCCACCATTCTTAGTCAGGGAACCTTAGACGTCCGATCAACTCATAACGTAATTATATTTATCGTCTTCGCGTCCATTCTATGTACGTTGTCTAGATCCGCACTTCTTCCGATGATACAATCATGTCCTTGATTCCATTAACCAACCCACGTACATCGAATTATTATAATTATTTGTTTTTAACCGAACATGAAAATAAAGTTACTTATTATATGGCTAGCTGTCTTATCTGTTTTTGCGAATTTATGGACCTCGACTCCGTCTCGGTCCATGAACACGCAAAAAAAGAACTTGGCCAATATCKAGCCATCTTGACCTCAAACTTGGTCAATAACCCATTCATATTTGCTGAAAGAAAAACATCAACAACGACAATTCTTTACTACCTTGCTATGATTCCAATAGCGAAGATTCCAAAAGCTAATTTTAGGAGTATCTGGCCGTGCCTAAGCCAGATGGAAAATTCGATTTCTCAACGTCCTTGAAGGATATATTGTGTAGACTTTACTTTATAGGTGCAAGATGAGTGATCACATCTAATTAAGCTAACTCCGAGTTAGACTTGCGTAATAACTTAAAATTTTCAACGGACTAATAATGACGACATTCCGTTCAAAAGTGATTTGAGTTCGTTATTCAATACGTAAATGTATGTAAAAACGTCGTTTCTTCGCAGCTCGAATTAAGAACATTTCAAGTTGCACACAGCCAGCTTCACTCATCCATCAACCTTCAATTCACCTTACTCTCACTCCTAAAATCTATGGTACAAGTTCTTTTGCATTGACGAAAAGTGAAAGTAACTTTTTAATTCCAAGTCGACACCATTTCGATTGTCACGCTTTGCTTGAATTTTTTTTTAATCAAACGCTTTTTATTTAATGCGTTTTTTTTTTTTCGATTTCAGTGGTCGCAAGATGGTAACAGTGGAGGCTACACTGTGTGCGATATTTCAGAAACAGCAACGAACGATACCAACAGCTGGCTCGTCTCGGACTACGTTGACTTGCAAAGCGCCAACGAGGTCCACATGGGTCTTACATTCATTGCCAGGCAATGCCCTGCGGAGCTTACCTACTGCAAACAGAGCTTCAAAGTGTATGTGCTACATACCCATGGACCCGTACCCGGTGGGATTACAACGAAGGAAATTGAATCAGGAAATTTCACTTTAATCGATTCAGTTAATGCTACGTATCTTTGGACGCCTGGGCAGACACCTCAAATAAATCAAGCTAATACGAGTTTCCTTGCCAACGGTAGTGGCGCCTACTTTGCGTTTCAGGACACGGGTGCTTGCTTAGCGCTCACGTCCGTCTTGGTATCATACACGTACTGCCCTAGCATTGTGCACAATGGCGTAGTGTTCAAGATGGTGGTCGCACCCCCTTCTGACCAGCAGAACATTACTGTTAACGGTAACTGCTCCGAAAAGGCTTCTCCGTATCCCATCAACAGTACACTTGCCATGGCGTGTCTTAATTCTGGGCAATGGGCGACAGATGTCAAAGTTACATGTAAATGCACTGCTGGATATGAGCTAGTTGAGGACAGCTGTACTGGTGAGATTAATTTCCCTGACTTTTATTTGTGCTCCTGTGCTACTTCCACATATTATTTTGTTTGCTTTGTTTTTTCTGTTTTTGTTTTTGTTTGTTTGTTTGTTTTTGTGCCAAAATTCTATGCTCATTTGTAGCCCCGAGAGATTAGCACGTATGAATTGTGATCAATGCCGGAATCTTTATTCACTATTTTTTTTTTTTTTTTTTTTTTTTTTTTTTTTTGATGGCAGCGACCATTAAAATGAGTTCAGAGAGTTCTAGTTTAATGGCGCCATATCGCAAAGGGACTATTAACGGCCACCATACGAACATACACTTGTATTTATTAGATAAATGAATTTAACCGCACTTCTTGCCATGATAGGCTCTTAATCTGCCAATCCTTTCGGCATTGTTAGCCAGTATTATATATTATTAGCCAATTTAAATGATGTCTTTCACGAAGTAATCCTGAGACTCTTGACATTGCCATTTCAGAATGCAAAGCAGGTTATTACAAGGAGTCAGTTGGCAATGATCAATGTATCTCATGTCCCTCCAACAGTGTGCCAAGTCACACTCATGTTTCCTGCTCCTGCCAAAGTGGCTTTTACAGGGCGCCCCAAGACGCAATCAGCGATGGCTGCACAGGTAGACATTCGCTCACTGCATAACATTGTAAGGGTTAACGCTTACCGCTTTCTAGACCAAATAATAATAATAATAATAATAATAATAATAATAATAATAATAATAATAATAATAATAAAGCGCTGGGAGGAATCATTTTATCCGCCTAAGCTAGTGTTAAACAAAGAAGGCAAAGTGGATAAAAACTGCAAGGCCAAATTTACTGGCTGGCTATTGTATTTGACAAGAGAGGTAGATGCATTATTGACTGTGTTGGGCATAGTTCACTGTTTTGCTTTGCTTTGCTTTGATTTTTTTCTGATTAAACTGTTTTCCTCCTATGCATGCACTAGGTACTGCTTCCATTTCAAACGAATTTAAAGTTGATAGTGAAAAACTAAAGGCTTTTTTTTGCCTCATGAATGATCCATTACAGGTTTAACTGTTATGGGATTTTTTTGCACTGAGATGATTTCAGTCCTATTTATAAGACAACTAGTAAACGGGTTTCCCTTCTTTAAAACTTCGTCGAGCATTCATTTTTCTCCTTATGTGACCACCTCCTTTTTTCAACATTACCAGCTCCTCCTTCAGCACCAACAAATGTCAACGTTACAGTCGCGACAGAAAGTGTTGTCGTGGTGACATGGTCTCGGCCTTCGTATGATGGAGGGCGCACTGACCTTTCATACGATTTGCAATGCAGTGCATGCTCAAATATTGGCTTCTGTTCAAGCAATTGTTCTGGAGTGCAGTTTTGGCCTTCAGCTGAGAATCTTGGTACAACTCAAGTAACGATCTCTAACCTTAATCCGGCAGCGTTGTACAATATAACTGTGATTTCAAAAAATGGGGTCAGTGAACAGGCCGGAGCATCGTCAGTTGGATATTCTCATAAAACATTCTCCTTGACAACGCCTACAACGAGAATTCCAGAAAGTTCCACCACGTTAGTGGCAGTCACGGAACCGACAACTACTGGAGAAATTCCCAGTCACGAGAATATAACGACTGTGGGAGGTATGTGACACGAAAATATATCCATGAAATAATATTTGCCAAATTGTAATGCATTTCCTTACTCGTCAGGCTTTGGGCATATTCCTTTCGAATAGGAATTATAAAATTATCAAAAGATATATAAGTCAAGTCTTGTTATGATCATTTTGAGCTTAGTTAAATGAGGGATGTTAGTTTTTCTTCTTTTTTTTTTTTTTCCACTGGTTGTTATGTACTTCGTAAGGCAAATGAAATACGTGACTTATTATAATCGTAAAAAGTTGATTAAGATAAATTAACCATACTTCCTTCAAGAAAATAGCTCTCTCCCGAACACTCTAGGTACATGCATAAATACACACAAACTACTCGCAGGGCTTTATTTTGCCCCAAAGAACATCAAACCACACTCTACATTGGCTTTCTAAACTTGCTAGTATGCTTAAGTTACCAACATCAATTTTAGGTCAATCCTTAGCTAACCCTCGGACATTTTACATTGCCATAGAAAAATATGGAGTGTAGTGGAGTTCAGTGGAGCTTAACCGTCGTTCGGTTTAAATGTAAACTTAGTGTCAATCGCTTCGCGTTCGAGAAATTAGTAAAAACCAGAGAGTCAAATAGCATGAGGAAACATGGTGTCGGAGCTTTAGCGACGTGAGCGAAAGTTAATGGCTATGGAAGTTCTGACAAATGGACCGATTCTCGACAGGACAAACGAAATTGGATAACAATTAATAGCTTAAATATCCCTAGCGGCTCACACATTCTGCACGCATCTAGTATTACAACAACCAACATACAAGAGTAGTTATTAGAAAGAAAACCCAAGGGAAAAGGCTTCATCAACCCCTTCCCCCTCCCTCGACACTCACACACACACACACACTCACACACACTTGGAGGGTAGGGGTTAACTTCTAAGGGTTTAAGACTCTCCTTTTTAGGTCGCACTTGGCGAAATATGTGGACAGCAGCGGCAGGTGATGATTCTACAAAGTCTTACTTGAAGTGTCAAAAGTAAAGTGGCTGTTTCTCTCATTCTGCAGGTGAAACAGTTCCAATCCAAGGCACTGTGAGCTCCAAGGTAGCTACAGCTATCGGCATCTCTGTGGCTGTAACGTTTGTTGTCTGCTTCCTTATCGGAGCCGTCATCATCTTTTTACTGATTAAATTCTGGAGGAGAAAACACTTTGAGCAAAATAGCGCACAGAG